AATGCCGGGCTAGAGCAGCTAAATATAGACGGCAGCTTCTAGGTCCACGCCCGCGTGTGTGCCCGCGTGCACATTCGAACAATCACAGGAAGGAGGCTCCGCGCTGAGAGGCGTAATTACAGCCTTGATTTAGGAAAGCATGATCTTCCCTAGATGGGGCCAAGGCTCTCCTAAGCTAAAGGGCACTCCTGGACCAGCAGCCCAAACGGCTCTGCACTGCTGTTACCTTTGGACTTGGTGGCGCCCGGGATTGTATTACATAACAGAACAGTGTCCATTGTCACTTGGAATGTAAGAGGCTCAGAGGACAGTCCTCTGTTGGGTGGAGATTAAGTGGCCTCATTAATGAGTCACCTTCCTTCCCCTTTCCATTCCTTATAATTAGGGTGACACATAGCCCAGCTGGCCTGAGAGCCTCAGTTTATGCCCACTGACTAAGGTGATTATCAGTCATGCTCAGAAGGGACTTGGTTGGGTGATAATATGTTTTAAATCTTTTTTTATTGCCACAGGACATGTGCACCCACCAGAGAAGAGAGAGAGAGAGAAAGCACCCTTTAATAGGGTGTGATCATGCCACAATCCCGTCCTCCATTTTTCCATCCTGCTGGGATTTGGGGCGCATGTACACGTGCCTGGAGTGTTTTTCAAGGCTCTGGGGTCAGGATTCGAACTGTGGTTGGCCATGGAGAATCCAGTTCTCTTAACCACTAGGCTATGGGGATGGCTTGATTATTTTTATTTATTTATTTATTTTAATTTCCAGACAGAGAAAGAGAGGCACTTCACGGGGTCTCGTCACGCCACAGTCCCCACATGTGCACCCTGTATGTTTGCAGACTGAGTTGGGGTCCAGTCATGTGGCTCCCGGCACTACAGTTCAGTACACGTTCACCTGCGCCACCAGGGCAGGCCTGGCTGATATGTTTAAGGTCACTAATTTGCAATCGTCAAGAAGAAAGGAGGACACAAGCCCAGATAACCTAAGGACCCCCTTGAGAGGCTGCCTAGCTAAGATGGCTTCCTCAGAAGGATCTAGATCCTTCTAGAAGAGCTCTCTGCCATGCTCACTCTTAATGACTCTGAGCAGCACATACACCAGCTGCAGGCCACTGGGATGACCAGTGGAAGTGGGCAGTACTGCTGCCTACTCAGATGTCTAGATTAGAAAAAGAGAATTATAGGACCAGCAGTTAGCGTAATGGCTATGTCACTGAACTCCCAGGTAGTCGACCACGGTTCAACTACATGACTACCCATGTAGTCGCACACGCCGGGAGTGTGTGCGTGCGTGTCCGAGATCCCAAGAGGAGAATGGAG